CAGAGTCTGGATGACCATCTGTCAAGGGTGTTTTGAATGCAATTTTCCTGCTTCTTGGCAGGGGTTGAACTGGATGGCCCACAAGCTCTCTTCCAACTCTGTGATTCTATGATTCTAGGTACATGAGACATGCCACAAAAGTGAAGGCACTATATATTATAATTATATTTACAAGATTTTTTAAAAATCCCTCTTCTCTCCTAACATGGGACCAAAAGCAGTTTGGCATACATTTTAAAAGGCAAAATAAGTAGCACAAAAGTTTAAAAATATTAAACAATAAAGTCGATGAAAACATTAATTTAGAACAGTTAAAAATGCATTAAGAGCAAATTAAGTACTTAAAAATAAACCTAGCAGCATACCCATTACTCATCCTTCTTATAGGTCTCTCATTCAAAAAATATGGTGATACCTCAAAGAAGACTGTCTCCAATAATGAGCTGTCCGGCCTTAGAAAGTGGCAACACTAATGTTGTTCATTCATTCAGTCGTTTCCGACTCTTCGTGACCTCATGGACCAGCCCACGCCAGAGCTAATAGAAGATCATTAATGATTACTGCTTTTTTCTTTGGATGTTACTTCCATGGATTCCCCAAACTAGATGGACATCTTAGGATTTATGGTCTGAATGAAAGTGCTATTGTATCACAATGTTGAAACAGGCAGCCTTTGAAATATTATGGTCTTAAGATGTGAAAACCTTTCAAAGTCAAAAACAGCACTTCAAAAATATTTGTGGAGACTGGAAAATTGAGAAATTGTTAGACAAATTATGGTTGAACAAATGAGAACCTACGTGAAAGTTCACACAGAATTACTCTTCCATATAAACGCTTAGACTCTGCTTATTTCCCGATCCTTCATAAAAGGACTGATTTGTGGCTCTTTTGAAATTGGCAGCTGATAGCCTCCCACATCTCCTTTTGAACTTTTTATTTCCACTAAGCATAAACTTATTCAGCCACCTTGCAATTTAAAACTCTATTAAAAGCAGGGAAATGAGATCAGTGCCCTTGTGTGTGTGTGGTTTTTCTCTTTTACCTAGTCTGTTCCATCAACATGTGTCAAGCCTGTAATAAATTTGCCATGCTGTCAAAAGCTGTCATGCTGTCTCCCTGTACTGAAAGCCAGCGAGCAAAGGAAAGATTTATCTTGGAGCCTAAGGGAAAACCAATAAAGTGGAACCATCGCTTTCCTAACGTGTATCTGAAATTGAAGGGTTTTACTGCCTGGGAGATCCAAGCTTATCTTCAGTACTCAGTCAAATTAATTTTGCGTTCCCTTTACTTTTCTCTCAACATTAATTGACTACAGTAGAAATTTAATGTAGGCACCAGTGAAGGAGACTTCCAGGTTCATACTGACAACTGCTCAATTCACAGGTTTAATTTGGCTGTTTAATTTGTTGGGTTATTGCATGTCTTGAAGCACTACACACAATTGTCCTTATCTTTTATGGGTTTACTTCTGAGTTGTGCTGAGGTTCAGGCAAGGGGATTGTGGTAGCTGGGAACACCAATGACATAATGTAATTACAGAACATGCCACCAGATACAACAAGTTTGTTGTTGTGTACCTTCAAGTCATTCCAGACCTATGTGAACCTATAACAATGGTTTCATGGGAGAATTTGTTCAGAGGGGGTTTGCCTTTGCCTTTCTCTGAGGGTATGACTTGGCCAAGGGCACCTCGTGGGTTTCCATGGATGAGCAGGAATTTGGCACCTGGTATTCTAGTGTCCTTGTCCTACACTCGAACCACTACACCTCACTGGCTTCTGATAGAAAAAGTACAGCTTTTGAAAACTTCTGCTTCTGTGTTGTGATAAGATCTTCTAGTTCTTACTGCTTTCACAACATTCAGAAAAATGTCACTGCAACCTAAGGGGAATATACAAGGCAGGGATAGCTAATTAACAAAGTAAATTGAGGACTTGAATAACTTATCAAGGTGTTTCTTATTTCTCATTGCATTGCACATTGTATTTTCACTGTAATGATTGTTTATTCATATTTATATCTGCACTGAACTAAGTGGAACCTTTACTTGGATAAGGTGGTGATAGAGGCTTGGAAATTCGTAAGTAAGTATGGCAAAATGTCACAATAGCTAGCCCACTTCCTCACTATCTGAGCGCAATCTGAAATAATCAAAAGTATTTTCTTTTGTAAAGTCTCTAATGCTGAAAGATACAAAGATGATGGTGAAGTCTGAGCAGCAACATCTTCAAATTGGGAATGGCTTTTCAAAGAATTACTTCTGGAAGATGCCCAAGCTTGTTCCTTCTATTAGTTTATTTAGATGGACCACTTGGCATACAGTAATATGAATGATGTGTTTTATGGTGATGGTTTATGAAGGATCACCATCCATCCTACCAGATATGAAAAATTGGCAGTGATGGGAAGTATATGTCCTTTCACCTTCATCAAATGCATTCTGAAGATTTAGGGGTTTTTTTTTTTACCTTGTCAGGAGTGACTTGACAATATACTACAAGTTGCTTCCGGTGTGAGAGAATTGGCTGTTTGCAAGGACATTGCCCCCACATGGGAAGCTGGGGCTGACAGACAGGAGCTCACCCCATCTCAGAGATTTGTACCACTGACCCTCAGGTCTTTAGGTCAGCAATTCAGCCAGCAAAAGAGTTCAGCATATTGCACCACCTTAGGTCTTAAATAATAAGTTACTACCATGTTTTGAGTGTTGGACTACAACTCTGGAGATCAATAAGGGTTTGAATTCCTGCTTAGGCATGAAAGCCCACTGGGTAATCCTCTTACACATTCTCATCTCCAGAAAACCATGTGATAATTTTAGGGTCACCATAATTTTGAAATTTGTTGATGGCACATCAACCTCCATTTTGAGAGCCAGCATGTTGTAATGGTTGGAGTATTGGACTACAACTCTGGAGGCCAGGGTTCAATTCACTACTTGGTTATGGTAAAAACCACTGGGTGACTTTGGAAGACTTGAAGGCAAAAAAACAAGAACAGGTTCCAAGGGTCACACAGTAATTCTTGGAACTGTTCCAACATAAAGCCAAATTATCCAGTGGAAGAACAGCTTTCTATGGTCTATGGACTGTGTGAGATATTTTTTCTGTACAAGTTATGCAAGCAATTTCATACATTTCCATGTGATGTTTCCTTTGCTTATGATTCATTTTGTTCTAACATTGGGAGTGCCATGCAACACTTGGGAGTTTATATCTACGAAAGCGCAAACATAGTTACTGACAAAGATGTTCTTTCAGAATTTATCTTTCCAGCTGCCAAGACAATGATCAGCAGAAAGATTTGTAGTAACAGTCTGTCTGAGGAAGATCTGTCAAAAAGCAATTTTACAATATATTAATATATCTGAGATGAAAGTAAATAAAATTCCCAAGTGAGCCACTCTCCACAAGGATGGTTATTTTTATCCTTTGTCTGGAATCCATTATTTACAGCTTGAAAAAGACTTAGCATAGGAGAAATATAATGGTGCCTTGCATGCCAGGAAAGATGGCTAATTGGCAAAAGAGAGCAGAGGAAGAAGAAGAAGAAGAAGGACAAAAAAGCCAACACAGAGCTAATTAAAAGAAACTGTCCTTGAAACAAAATGAGAGATGAAGGAAGTTTTTTTAAAGGACCAGAAAAAATAAAATTAGCGCAGCCAACTGAAACTGAGCAGAGGGGTGGACAAAAGGGAGAAAGAAAAGACAGGAAAGTAATGTATGGCATGCAGGAGATAGAAGAAAACAAAATTAAGAAATATGGGGTGTGAAATCTAAAATACATTAAACACACTTAAACATGGCTTTAGCTAAAACATTTGTATTTGCTAAGATTTGTGAATACATAATGCAGGAGTATGCCATTAATTATCGTCTTGATAGTTTTTTGTGTCTCTCTTAATATCTACACTGCAAACACTGCTTATATAACCACAGAAAAGGGGACGAGTTCTGCTCCAGTAGTGTCAATCAATGCATCCACACTTTCTTATATTTGGGGAGATATTCAAGGCATTGTATTGTCGAAGGCAAGGTATTGGTTGCACCATACACTACTTTATTAGCTTTCATATATGTATATATACTTGTCAACTGTATCCAGAGAATTGACCTGGATTTGAAGCATGTTCTTGTAAACAGTGGAAGAGACTCTAACTGCTTGGTCCATAAATTTGTTTTTATGTGGCAATCATGTGGACTTTTCAGGCTAAATCCAATTGCTAGCATAGGTAAAGGTAAAGGTTTTCCCCTGACATTAAGTCCACTCGTGTCCAACTCTGGTGGTTGGTGCTCATCTCCATTTCTAAGCCAAAGAGCTGGCATTGTCCGTAGACACCTCCAAGGTCATGTGGCCAACATGACTGCATGGAATGCCGTTACTTTCCCCCCGGAGCGGTACCTATTGATCTACTCGCATTTGCAAGTTTTTGAACTGCTAGGTTAGCAGAAGCTGGGGCTGATAGTGGGAGCTCACTCCGCTTCCCGGATTCGAACCTGCAACAAGTTAAGCAGCTCAGTGCTTTAACCCACTGCACCACCGGGGGCTCCAATTGCTACCATTCAGTGGGTATATCAACAGTTGTACAAGTTTTGTTGATTCAGTGGGATGGCTTAAGTGTAACTAGAGTGACCATGTAGGTAAATGCCATTAAAAGTTCTGGGGTCCTGTTCTTGAAACTATTATTTCATATTGAAGCCAATAATGATCCACTATCATCCCTTGGCTGTGGGGAGACATGTAGAAGACAGTAGAACAGTGGTTCTCAACCTGGGGTCCCCAGATGTTTTTGGCCTCCAACTCCCAGAAATCCTAACAGCTGGTAAATTGGCTAGGATTTCTGGGAGTTGTAGACCAAAAACATATGGGGCCCCCAGGTTGAGAACCACTGCAGTAGAAGGAAAAAGGAATCCATTCAGGTTGTTGCAGAGCACTTTTGGATTTGACTTTGGGGATGTCTTGGCTAACTGGCAATTCTGTCTTCTTGTTTCTTTTAGGGAGCTCCTGCTGTCTATAGCCCTTGGGCAGGTCCTGTCCCTCCTTATCTGTGGTATTAGCCTGACCAGCAAGTATTTGTCAGATGATTTTCATGCCAACACTCCAGTCTTTCAGAGCTTCCTGAACTACATTCTCCTATTTTTGGTCTACACCACAACATTAGCTGTTAGACAAGGTAAGTGACATTGTCTTGAGGATGGAATAATTGCCCCTTATAATCAATATTGAATATACTTGTGCATAAGTTGACCCAATTTTGGGGAAAGATGGCATATAAATGATCACAATTATTGGGATTATGATGATAGGAGTAATAGTATTAGCAATAAACAAGCCAAAACAATAACACTTCACTTCATGTTTTTTCATCCCAGTCCTCACCCACTAAGCTTTGGACAATAGCCTGGATGGTAGTGCTGAGCTTAGCCTCCTGAGTAATGGTAAATGCATTGCCAGTGCATTAAGCTACAGCTTAGAAGTTGTACTGTGGCCATTAGTGTTTCAGACTCTTCCTATTTTTACAAAGGGGTTGACAGCAGCCCTGCTGCTTTATTTCTATCACAGTGTTTCACGTGGGGCAGACAGTCTCCCATGTCAAGGGCAGAAATTTATTCACTCCCCATGGAACACTCCTGATTAAACAGATGCTGCTGTGTTCCACCACAGGGAGACCTCTAAATGAGGATTTCAGTTAAAACTCTGGAAAACTAGCAAAGGATAGCATTAGAGACTGCAATGTGCATTCTCTGCCTAAGGAAAAAGTTGCTCTGGCAGCTTTTTCTCTCTCTGCTGTTTTACACAGATTGGAAGAACTGTAGGAAATGGACATAGTTCAAAGCCTGTAAAGCCAGCTGTGGCCTTTTCCTTGTCTGTTTAATTTGCCAATAAACCTACTGGAATATGGGGCAAGCAGACTCTAACCAATATATTGCACTTGCATGGTGTAAATCTACATTCACCCAGTTAAGTTATGGATGCTGTACATCGCTCTTCTGCTGAATTCCTCTAGTGAGCAACCAGTTGGGTAAATGTGTCTACAGTTGCCCCAACCTCAATGAATCAAGTGACACGTACTGCAGCTCTCCATGACACATCCCATGTTGTGCCAAATTGTTCCTCCTGCTTTCAGGTACACATTGTAGGCACTGAAGGTAACAACAAGTAGGAGATCTCTTTGAAAATCTGGTGCCCTGCCTTGCAAAGGAAGAGACTATGGGAGTTTTCTACAGTGGGATCTAAATGAGTTCTCCGGTCCTTAACTTTGTGAAGTCAAGCGGCTCCATTTCTCTGAACCTCCAATTATACACTCTGAATGATCCTAGACCTTAGATATCCATTCATTTCTACGAAATAAAAAGAGAAAGTTGGAGTGCATTAGTAAATTATTACCTTGCTGCTTTTCTGAACACCCTCTTGCCTTTTACAAATCATTTTCAGTTTTGCTTTCAAGTATTTGCAGATGCTTCCTCTCTCTATGCTGTCTGTAGGCAATTTATGCCTCCTTCCTTATGGTCGGTAATTTCCTGTGTGTTAATTTCCACTCTGATCCTTTTGCGTGGCTCTCTTACTCCAACGTTAAGTAGATCATTAAGATTTTAGAGAAATTGTTTTGCAATCCACTTATGTGAATACATAACTGAAATATCTGATCAGATTTCATGTTAAAAATAATTATATGCTGTTGATATATGTTGCTTATATCACCCAAAAACAGAAGTGGACTAAAAGTTGCTCCAAACAACATCCAAGAACTTCCAAAATAGTTTAGCCCTGCATTAAGTGAAGTCAGGATGTGTGGGCAGCGCAACCAGTTCCAAAGTGAACAGTCTGCTGTCCACATGGGTTGGTGCTACTATCTTCTCCACAGATGGTCACAAAACTCCAGAGAGCTTTTGACCACTGTTGGGTGAGTTTTCTAAATCAGCAAATGTATCTCCATGCTACTCTGGACTGGCCCTATACCTTGTGGTAGATGTAAATGAACCCTAAGTATCACTCATTTTTAGTAGGGCCTTATTTTGAACTGAGTAGTAACTAAAGGACTAAAAGTATTGACTTTGCTTGCTGATTGATTCCCATAGGAGCAGAGAGAAGGATCAAGGCCTTTATCTACAAGGATAAACCAGCAGCAGTAGCTCTTGTCTCAGCAGTTCTCCAGTGCTAACTTAGTGACCCATTCTCAAAGCTCTGTGAATTTTTCCTCAGGCAGGACTGAATAGTATGTGAAGGAAGGGGAAAACTCACACAACAACTGTTACTGTTCACATTTGGGATGCAGAGTGACTCAAACAGCAGCTGTAATGCATCACTGCCTTGAGCGGTACTTCATTGGTTGTTTACATTGGAAGGGAGCAGGAAAATAACCCGTTTGATTGTGTCCTGATTTGATGTGTATGAAAACAGTTGAGTTCCATAAATTAAGAACTTGTAGATCCAAAATAATCTGATTCCTACCTTTTCTGAGAAGGCTGAATATACATTTCAGGTGGAATTAGAAAAGTCTCCTTTGTTTCGATTTCTTGCCCGAAGTAGGGTTGTTGCACATCTGCAGTGTATACTCCCAAGGTTGCCATTTCGTTATACAAAAGGATTAATGGAAAATTCAGATCCAGTAAAATCCTTACGGTAGCATTTCAATAGCATTAAGCACTGTTGTAATTTAATGCTTACTACATATGGTGTAATTTAATCATTTATTTATAAAAATGATGTTCATCTTTCAGTATTCAAATTTGTGTTTACAATCATAGGAAATATTTCAAGCTGAGAATATAATTTATTTAGTTCTGTTTTATAAAAGTATTTTCCTTTTTCGGTGCACTTTGAAAAACCCCTTCAACGTTTCTTCTAGTTCTTCAAATCCCCAAAATGAACACTGATGACAGTTGGAATAGCTCAGTCTCATACGGGCTGGTGTTTTTTTAAATAATAATAATAATAATAATAATAATAATAATCTGAATGGAACTGTGTACTTTGTCACCGTGTCCAGAGCTTTAACTTAAAGCAAAGGAGAGCAAGTTGAAAAGTAAATTGTTGCACCATATTAAATTGAAATGCCTCTGGGTTAAGAAATATTTCTTTTTCGTTTCCTGTGTCATTATATGGGGATGAAATGGCTGCTATTGTATTGCCTTACCTGTAAGCAAGCATTGATATTGTACCACTGATTAATTTTGTGAATTTAGTACTAAGCAAACTGTATTTATATTGTGTGGGGGAGGATGGGAAGGTTATATTCTCTTTTTAGGCAATGTATAAATAACTATCCCATTTCTTTGGGAAAGCTTTTCCTGTATGGCTAAGTTAAACATAACACCGTGTGTTCCAAATACAATAAGCCTTCCACCTTTACGGATTTGACTTTTGCAGATATGTTTATTTATGGCTTTCATTAAAAATGTTACCTGTAGGAATCTATAGGTCCTCCAGTGAGAATCAATGTTTATTTCTGTTGGAGGACTGAGAGAATTGTAGAGGTTACACCTCTAGGAATTTCTAGGTTCTCCACTGTAATTTTATGGTCCAGTGGAAGTTGTCCATAGAGTTATACTAGAAGACCTAGGGATTCCTAGAAAGGTGTTGCATTTTTATTTGCAGTTCTTCCCTCTCATGGGGGTCCTGCGCCCCTAATCCCAGTGACTGTGGAGGGCTGACTATTGTTTACATGTCTTTCTCCTACCTTCCTGTGTGACTAGAGTTGCCAGTCACAGGAAGTATACGTAAGGCTCATCTTAGTTGGGATGGCGGAGCCCCCGGTGGCCAAATGGGTTAAACCCTTGTGTCGGCAGGACTGAAGATTGAGAGGTCAGAGGTTCAAATCCAGGGAGAGTGCAGATGAGTTTCCTCTGTCAGCTCCAGCTCCCCTTGTGGGGACATAAGAGAAGCCTCCCACAAAGATGGTAACACGACAAAAAAACATCAGGGCATCCCCTGGGCAATGTGCTTGTAGACAGCCAATGATCTCAAACCAGAAGCGACTTGCAGTTTCTCAAGTCACTCCTGACACAAGGAAAAAAGTTGGGAAGATTTTCTGTGTTGATAGAAGTGTTCAACAAATGAAATTTCCCTCTAAACCAGTGCTACCCAAATGGTGGTCCCTGGGCCATTGCCGGTCCTGGTAGGATTCAAGGAAAGGCAAAAACAAACAAACAAACAAAAAAAAACAACAAAACAAAACAAAACAAAAACCCAACTTCCCCCAAAATTGTAGAAACACTTTTGGAATGGGGTGCAATTTGCTTCACTTTGTATTAAAAATACAGGTCAGAACATAAAAATTGAAATCCCTACTTTTTTAAAACAAAAATCTCATATTAGCTTCAAGAATGATGATACCTGCTTAGAACCAGAGAAAAGCTAGCTAAAGGAATGTTAGTGGCAGATACAGGCTGCCTTTCAGTCAAGATAATGTTGTGCCCTGGAGTCAGTTAACATCTTTGTCCAACTGAGCATGAAGCAAATTTCAAAAGGTTAATAGAAGTCCCAGCATAGTCCTACAGCCTTTGGAGGTGGGGTGGGGATCGTGATATCTTTTGATAGGTATGTTTTAAAGCTTCCCTTCTCCCATGTGGGTTTCATAGTTAGCTTAATTGTAAACCATATGCTTGCACTTCTACAAACCTTAGGGTTGTCCAACCCCATCTTTCTCCAGGGCACTTTGGGCATTATAAACCAGTATTTTTAATTACAGATGTATGTGGAGAATTTGTGCAACATAAGGTATATCATCATTCTTTTTGTTTCACAATGTATAACATAGGAGCATTCATTTTGATTTCTCCATATATAAAATTAAGTGTGTTAGAGCCATATGGGAAAATAGAGGTGTACTGTGGGTGGAAGGAAGAGTGCAAATGCATATACACTCACAACAGTGGGTATAGGACTTCTGAATTTATTGTCACTAGCCACAGTGATAAGAAACTGCAATTTTGGCACTAAGAACAGCAGCCAAGGACCTACATGACAGTTATCCATAGAGAAAGATGATGGCAGTTTTTCCTACTTCTGTGTTTATGCTTATAGAGAACATTCTCATTCTTCTCATGTCAGTTTCAATATTGCAAGCAATTCTTAACAAAGAAAATCGGTGAATAAAATATTACAGAGGATGTACATTGCTTAATCTTGAACTTCAATATCCTGGGTGCTCCATAACGTGGAAGTTGCTTT